TTCAAGGCCAGAGGCGGTATAACGATCGCCTGGAGCTCAGGGCGATAGTGCACTGTAGTGCCTTGAGGGGCCGCCATTTCTCCGCGAACAGGATATCTGCACCGACGTCTCTGTCAAGCAAACGGGGCAAATGCTTCTGGCGGCCCTACAGAGTACCATTCGCCATGGAGGGATCCAAACAGTTGAAGTTGGAGCTACCGCATATCCGCGCTGTTGCTGTACTGTATACGAAAAGCATTCGGATATCGTCCAGCCATACTCCGTACAGATAGACGTTGGTTACATCGTCTGACGAGCCAGGCAGGCATCGGTGTTGACGCGCAGCAGTCGAGCATCCAACGGGGTTCGGCGGGCATCCTAGTCTTTGCCAGGTCGCTGCATAACGGCAACAAGGGTTTGCTCATTGGCAATTTTTTGACCCATCCAGACAAGCAAATGGATTGATTGCCTATTTCTATGTACTCAACCCCTGCCACCCTACGTGCCTACCTAGACTAACGGGCCTTGGGGACTGGTCACCCAACGCACCTGAATCTTTCCATCCTTCCCTATAGAATGGCGGAAGCCAATGTACTCCGAATCAACTTGGCATGGTTCAACCCTGATGAACAGTCTGGGTCAGGTATTCGGCAGTTGACGCGCCAAAAGAGAACGGTTCGTCCAGATTACCTGCGCAATCCGGTAGGCTTCAGTCTTCAACCAAGCCAGGTTTGACGTAGGCTGTCATCAACGGATAGCCAGATCTTGTCACACAAGTGGCGTGCAGGCAGCAGGGCAACATTCCTGAGGCTATAGTGGCGACCACCGCTGCACATCTTGGAGACAGAGGACTGAAAACCAGGGTGCTGTTCACCGGAGCCTCTAGGACAGGTTCAGCGAGGTTACATCAAGTTGGCTCCCTTTCACTTGATCCCATGCTATCACAGCAGCGGTCAGGACTCGCAGGGCGGCTATGGCTGGGTACCGCCGTTGAATCTTGCCTGCCGATCATAATGCGTCAAGAGGATAGGCGATCTGCTGCGCCGCCAACGCCGGCGCAAAGGCGCAACATCGAATTTCTGTTGGAGAACAGGCTGAGCTAATCGCCTCACAATGTGCATCCTAGATCCTTGCTTGGTCGATACTCCGTCCTCAATGCGGTGAACCACCCGTCACTTAACGACACCCAAATGGCACCGAATACGATTGCAATCTGCGGCATGATGATCACGCAGACAGCGCAAGTGTGACCTGGCAAAACAATCAACAGGACCGCGGCACAGTCCAGCGGCAATCTACCACAGCACGGCCATGGGCCGGAGTCACAGCCGCTCACTCCAATTAGACTCCTTCTCCTCAAAGTAGCAAACTGAAGCCGGTGCGAGAAACGACGAACAACAAAATTCCCGAGCGAAGCTGACCGACAGGGAATGCGATCCCAGACGCCATCCTGCAATAGCGGTTCCGAGCTCTCGGGTCCAGCTTCTGCGCCAGCACGCCCTGTCCTCTAGTCTTTCGAGAATAACTAGCACAAGGTGCGTTTCTCAATTGGTCGGGTGACGTGACTTCGTTTGTCCACCAGTCAGCATTGTTACAACCATCTCATCTCGTCTTAACTCGTCTCCAAAGACGTTTCCATACTCGGTGACGGTTGAGGACAATGCTTGCCGAGAGGGCTACAGCATATTTGGCCGCAGACTGTGGAAGCCTTCGTCAGTGCTCCTTGAAAAGCCTTTGATGGGGTGATATCGTATATATTGACAACGACCACCGTACGAATGTTTAACTTCGGAAGGGTATATCGGCCCATTGGTGGAAGCCCTGTGAAACTAATTTCGGCGTCCACGTTAACGATGCGGCCCTACACTGTTCTGCAATTAGCGAACCACAAACAGGTCACCGATCAGTAAGCCATATCGAAACAGGACGGAGTAGTGAGTGACTGGGATGAAGCTCAATACCTGGCCAAACATCAAAAAGCCCCCTAACGGCTTATTTGAGGCTGGTCGAGAGTCATTCGTCACGGATTCAAAAGCTGGCCACCGATGACCAGCTGTGGTACCCGACACCCAACCATTCGACGCGTCGGTAAGCGTCTCAAAATAACTATGGCGATCCCCTGGTTGAAGAAGAAGAATGAGCAACAACAATCCAAAGCGGATTTTAAGCGCCCTTGGTACAACTTGGTTTCCACTTCTATAATAACCAACCACGAAGAAATACACCACAAACAAACCACGCGTGTCGCCCATTTGTCGAAAGCGGAACCATGTCTATCGTGACATGTCGGAGTACGGATGCCCTGGCCGGTCTTGGTGCGCTGCATGCGCATCGAGGACCCTCAACGGGCCGTACCACGGCGTGTGTACACGTGTTTGAGGCTCGCATGCGAAGCGCACTCACCGATAGTGGACTATACGTATCACCTAGAGCCTTCTCCGTACGGAGTACATAGTCTGTCGATGCATGCTACACACTTCCGATTGAGTAATTGGAAACGGCGGGGCTCAAGAGGCTGGACGTGAAAATCGCCAGTGGGCCTCGACGAGAAGAACACGACGACCGTTGGCTCCATGGACCATTTCACTATCCATACTTCTCCGAGGGATTTCCGCTGATGAAGCGAAGCTCAAACGGTTATGCAATCTAAACGAAACCCCGCTGGACAAGACCACGGGGGTTTGCACGAATATCCATCGCAGCTTCGTCGAAGGAGGACAGCAGTGACGAGCATTTCCTACTGCAACATAGAGCAGAGCGCTTGAGTATGCAGTAAACACGCGGCTTCGGTGAGGGCTACATACAGGTGGATGCCTTTTGAAGGGCTGCTTGCTGATGATCCCATCAGATTATGCTCGCCGCTGATCCATTGGCCCCATCGACCCATAGGCCGGGTTTTAAAGAGGTCATCACCTTCAAGGGTCCCATGATGGGCTCTGCGGTGATTGCTCGGTGGTCAAGCCCGAGGAGCCGTTCGTTGACGATTGACGGGCCCTAAGGTATGCGGTCTTTGCTGTATTCTATCCGCAAGTGCCCGGTACTACGGATGGATACACTGCAGAATCACGGCTCTACGGACTTGCCATTCGAGATTTTTTTCAGTCTTACGGTCTTGCCAGTGCCTTTGTTATTTGCTTTTGCAGAATGCAACGTCGGTACTTGGTCGGTATCCACCGAGTCGGAATAAGGCCGAGATGGGTAGACGCGATTTGCTCCCGGATTACTCCTATCCCTCTTCTGGCGCAACGTACATTACGAGGTTGTACTGTTCATGGTGAAGAACCAAACTTTTCCCTTTTATCGGAAAGCGGAATACCGGCCACCATGGGGCCATGGCTCACTTCACCCTCCGTCCCTCGGGTTAATCTAGCCCAGGCCCTACGGATACGTAGGTTTTCCGATGTCCTGTAGCCGATGAGATCGATTGTCTGCCCATGGCAATCTGGCTGCCCCGTGGGCCCCTGGGCTCGACTCCCTTGGATAGCCGAGCCGAGGGACGCGAGCTGGAGGTTTCGTGAGGTCATCACTCCCGAGGAAGAACCATGTTGCCATGGAGCATTGGAGGTTACGAATTGAGTCGATCGTGCTCGTGTCGGGAGCGCGGCGGAAGCCAACTCCCGGGCCCCGGGGGCCCGCCTATTAAGGATGACTTGTGTGGCGTTTGCGTTTGCTATGAGCCGCTGCCTGTAGAGTGGGGTGGTCGTGGAACGAACCGGTGGTTTGGTGTTTTGGTGTGCTTTCTACGTGGAAGGGGGGCACTTTATCTGGATTCGATGCTTGAATTGGAGGATTCAAGCTTAGGGCTCAACGGAGATCTACTTAGGATCGATTCATCTAGACGAGGGAAACACTTCAATATCACACCTGTAAAACATTCTACGTACCCTTTCAGATAGACAAGCAGCACCACGTCTTGGGGTCTGTTTCTTGGGGTTTTGGTTGAGATACTGTGAGCCTCGGTTTTCAGCCCTGCTCGCACGTTAATCAATGTCTCCTGCTCAATGAATGGGCATCTGGAGGAGAATGGCTCGAAGCACCCCTCCTCCTGTTTTCTTCTGCTTTGAACCCGGTGACATCTAGCTATGCTAGGCTGATGTTTATGAGCAACTACATACACATCGATGATGTGCGGCGAACATGCGATCTGGAGACACTTCTGGATAATTTGTGCCGGAGGAGGAGGAGGAGGAGGAGGCTACCGAACATTCCAGGCTGTATGAAAATGAGAATGAGACCGAGGGCATGTCCAGTAGAGGATAGACCTGACCATCTCCCATCCACAAGTGCAAGATAGAGTACGCAAGAGACCTTAACTCCCCGCCACGAGGAATGTAAGCCTCACTCCACGGAACGGATCGAGCGTGCTAGACCGACATCACAGACATCATCAAACACGGCCGGATGGCTAGCTCGGGACGCCGTCGACGTGGCTGACACCGGGGGCGGTATCGATCACACGTTGGCACATCGATCACCTCTGTGCCTCTCTCCTGTCTCATTCGTCCATGGCATCTTGTCAAAACGCCATCACAGCGGGAGGGGAGTTGTTTTGGAAAGGAAGAAGCCGCAAGGGCAAGTTAGAGTTTGAAACAGAGACATCAAGGCGAGTACGGAGTAGAGAGAGAAAGAAAATTTTTCATCAGGTCTAGTTTGATTTGATTCCAAAGACGGCACGGCACGCTGCCGAGGTTTCTACATGCTTGTATAGATGCCACTCACACGAGAGGGCACGAGGTGTAAGGGGTGAATGTAGGGTGAGAGGGAATTGGAGTTGAGGCTGTGGGCAATATAGCCACGGGAGTACGGAGCACATCGTCAGGTTAAGACAAGACGGCAAGGTACGTTTCACAAAGGGTCATGTCGACTGATATTGGGACATTTCACTTTCAACACATTGAGGCCGAGCAGCGGGCCGATAGATATTTAGAGGACGAGCATATTCCGTGGCAGCAGATTTTATTCTAAGAAAATCAGAAACGATTTCATGATTGCTTGCTGTTGTACACGTTTTTTCTTTCTTGGGGGGTTTGAATTTCATTTTGTTGATTGTCTTTTGTCGTGCAATGAAAGAAAGGGGTCTGCTGCATTCCCACCGAGACTGACGACGTAGAGGAGAAAACCTGATATGCTCTGATCCGTCTTCTCTATTTGCTTAACTGGAGCGAGTCTTCCTGCTGACCTTTTCCTCCTGTAGAAATCCATCCTCGGTCAAACTTTGCCAAGCTCTCCGTCCCATATGGCCTCCGTGAACATGGCACGGCCATCGTTTCCCAAAGCATGCCTTTGCGCTTCGAGACGCATGTGCCTTTGAGATGCGATGGACTGCAGTGTGTATGAGTAACAGGTCGGGCTCCCTGATGGCAATGGGAGACAGAGACCATACTGCGAAATCCAATCTCATTGCATCGCAAACGGTTTCCGAGGCAATGCACTAGGAATTGAGCGTCGACAGCCATCCCGAAAGATAAAAAAAATCAAATTGAACGATGCTGAATTTTTGGGCGTGTGGCTGATCTTTAGCCTCTGCCCTCTGCTAGTCTACAAGATCGAGATTGGGTAGGCAATGAAGTGGTAGTGGTAGAATCGAAAAGACTCCATTCCTTATACGACTGAAAAACGTCGATTCGTCGTGCAAAGCGCGTCGGGTTCTTTACCACTCATACTCGCCAGTGGCCTTGTGGAAGACGTACTCCTTGCCATTGACGGTGAGAACACCATCCTTGAGGACGCACTTCCACTTGTTCTTGACGCGCTGGACCTTGTCGTACATGCAGAGCATGATGTGTCCAAGACCCTCATCGTCGACCTCGTCGTCATCCTTGTCTTCATCAGGGTCGTCAAGATCTGAGTTGATTGCGTCTTCATCAACTTCGTCATCGTCGTAACCATCGTAACCGGCAATTCCACCATGCTCCTTGCCCTTGGATCGCGCCGTGGCAGCCGACGAATGCCTCGTGGCTTCCTTGAGAGGCAGCATCAAGCCGCCGCCCTCCATGCTTTTGGCGTTGGCAGCAATCCGCGCGTGAATCATGCGATCGATATCAACACGTCCAATCTCGCGTTGAGACCCATCAGGGTTGCGTTGGAGCAGAACACCTTCAAAGTCGAAGTCGTCACCAGCACCGTCGGTCTGCGAGGGATTCACACCTGGCTGACCATTGCTAGGTGGACGTTGCTGGGGCTGGCCCTGTTGAGGAACTCCCGGGCGGTATTGCTGTTGCTGCTGTTGCTGAGGCTGGCCGGGCATCTGGGGCAGCGGCGGTTGGTTGGCAGGCCTGTTGGTCGCCGAGGCTTGTATGGCGTTCATGGAGGCGGCGCCTTTCTCGCCGAACTGACCGCGCACATGTTGAGCGGCTCGGTAAGCTGCGAGCCCAGCGCTGTCTTGTTGAGATGGCGGCATCGGCACGTTCTGCATGCCAGGCTCTGGCTTGATGTATGGCTCCTCCTTTACAGGCATGTTACTGGCCTGCTGAGCCGGGTTTCCGCCAGGCAGAGGTAGACCAGGCACTGGGAGTTGCGGACTGAGCTGGGCCTGAGAGTATGGAGCCGCAGGCGGGGGTGCGGCCGTAGTCGGAGGTGGTGCAGCAGGAGCTGGAGCTTCCTTAGGGGGGTCCCATGGAAACGCCGCGACCTCGAGTTGAGTGAGCTTTTCCTGCCATCCCTTCTTCAACTCTTCCAGCACGCTCTCATCAACACCACCCTCCTCGAAATCGACCCGAGAGGAATTTATCACCTCATCGATGATCTGTGAGTAGACGTTACCCACCGCGTTGTTAGACATGGTGGCGTTTGTTGGTCGTCGTCGTAATCGTCAACTATGTGTTTGTCGAAGAAAGTAGTGTCAAGCTTCGGTACCGACGAGACGGATGTGCGAATCTTGTGGTCGCACCTTCTCCAACCTGATCCCTCCTTCCTGACTGTCGGACTAAGTTGAGAAACGAAGTCGCGGAAATGGTCGAGAGTATTCAATCGAAGTCCGCCTCACAAGGTTGCTCTTGGGTTGTCGATGGATGGGGAACCGCCTGCTTAGTCCGCCACTTCTCGCTGCCCAAAATGGCATGCGCCTGTGTGAAATCGGTAACGGCGGATACGCAATCGATTGCTGACGAGGTTTCGCTGGTTGATATCGGGGAATTTAGATGTAGACAGGGTGTCTGGCTGGGCCCTGTTTTTCGCTTGGTAATGTGTACGGGTCAAGATTGCCTTTGTTTGGTGGGTTTCGTTTTGAGGCTCGAAGCAGGCGCTCGCCTATTAGTAAGCTTAGGCGGCAGCCGCACGGTGGGAAGGCTGAGCTCAGGCACCTGCCAACTGCAAACTGCCCGCAAACTGCCCGCGCGATGATCGCTGAAGGATCCACACTACCCGCAGGGACTGATAAGGCCTTAATTAACCCGATAAGCCACCTGGAAAGTGGATTGAAGCCGGAATGCGGGGTGTAAGCCGCACCTCAGGTCTTCGGCAAGCAACTCTGGTCAAAGTAAATTATTCTGCAGCCCACCTCAGGAACCATGAGATGCTGAGCAAATATGGTCGTCAACAGACTGGATCAAGGTATTGGCATGAGAAAAAGGTAAAAACCAGGTTTTCTTTATTGCAAGAGCGGTCCTTGTTACTTAACTACGGCCGTCTTCTATAATACTACAGCACGTCCCTGACGATGCATCCCTTTGCAAAAACAAATCTGTCCCATGCTAAAGAGCAATGAATGATATCTTCTGTCGTTACTCATGACCAAGCAATTTCGTTTCCCGTGGAGAAGCCCTTTCGTGCCACGTAGAGTCGGATGCAATAAAACCAAACTCCTCGCTGAAGATGACCCCAACCGCCAGGAACCCATGACCGACAAATGCCAGAGGAGATATACCTACATTTATTGACGTCGTTTGACCGACATTCGCCAGGCTTGGTCGATGGTGGACCGTTCACCGGATGGTCATCTGCTTGACCATGTCTGCCTTGGCCGAAGATGTGCTGCTGCCAACACCGGCACTGGCACCGGCCTTCTTCTCGAAGACCTTCCAGAACTTCAGACTCTCATCGGCAGCTGAGTGACAGTGGTTAGCAGTTGTCATTATCAAGTTTCACATTTCCAAGACTTACCTGCGGTAGCAAGCATCTGACCGTCAGGGCTGAGGCAGCTGTGCAAGACTCTGCTCTCGTGTGCAGGGATCTCGACGTTGCGAACCAACGTAGGGTAGCTCCAGATGCTCAGGGAGTTGTCGGGGAAGCCGCTAGAGCTGACAATCTCACGGTAGTGAGGGCTCCATCGCAGGCTGGTGACCTGGGAGCCAGTGTCGATGCTGTTGACGCGAGCACCAGAAGTGGAGTTCCAGAAGTGGATGTGGCGATCATAAGAGCCACCACCCGTAGCCAGAAGGTTCATGTTCCAGGGGCACCACGCAAGGGCCTTGACAGCAGCCTTGTGGTTGGTCTTGGTGAACTTGGGCACAGAGAGCGAGCGGGCGTCCCAGATAGAGACGAGGTTGTCGTTGCCTCCAGTGGCCAGTTGTGCGCCATCCGAGCGCCACTCCAGACCGCAGACTTCTGAAGTGTGAGAGACCAGCTCTGCAACCTTGTGCTCGGCAATGCGGACATCGTGGTTGAAGACCAGTCCGCTGCGAGCACCAGTGGACAGAAGGTGCTTGTTCCAGCCCATAACACCGACCCGGGTATCGTGACCGAACATGCTACGGACCTTCTGGGCCTCGGCTACGTCCCAGATCTGAACCTCACCGGTGCCAAGACCAACACCGACATACGCACCGTCGCCAGACCACTTAACACTGCTGACGTACGTGTCGGGGCTTGTTTCAAGGAGGCAGCTGACACTTCCCTCGTCTGCGGACCAGACGTAGACGTTGCGTTCAAGGCCGATGGCAACCTGGTTGCCGGAGCTCCAGTCGAGAAGGTTGAGGTAATAGTCGTCAATCAGACCAGGAGCATCGAGAACACGCTCAGGAGCAGTGGCAACGCGACGGCGAAATTGGGCTGATGTGGCGCTCGCAGGCTTGAGAGGGCGGTTGTACTGCTGGCGGAGGTCGATGGGCTTGGAAGATTCGGGGGGCGCAGGCTTGAATTGCAGGATGCGGGTGTTGAGGCTGACTCCGCAAGCGGTTGCGAGAGAATCTTGGTATGCAACCGTGTTGGGAGAAGGACGAGAGTACGTGGAAGGCTCCTCGTCCTCAATGTTGAGACCCTCGAGGGCAGCGATGGCATCCTCTGTTGCGGATGAAAGCACGTTGGATGCTTCGCTCACGCTGGCCTTTGAGCGCTTGTCGGGTCGGTCGAGCTTGCTGCTGCCGGCGTTGGAAATAGCAGAGCTTGCGCTGCGGTTGGGGATGAAGCGGTCACCGCCATAGTTGACAGTCGTCTTGCTGGTCTTTTGCCTGTGAGAGGTTTTCTTGGACTTGGCGCTGGAAGGTGTCTTGGAGGTTCCGGAGCTGGTCAAAGCGAAATCGGACAGGCCAAGCTCGAGAGCTCTGCGAGGAGTTGAAACGCCCCTGGCAATGTTGGACTTGGGAGAGTCGCGGTGAGACGACTTGGTGGTGGTGGATCTAGCCAAGTGGGCAGTGAGGTTGCCACCATAGGTTGACTTGCCTGATGCGCGGTAGGCGTCGCTGCCAGACTGCTTCTCAGGGGTGAAGGGGGAAGAGTTCAGGTTCACCGAGACGGAGGCGGAATGCTGACGGGGCGAAGGTGTGAGAGGCATGCGACCGCCGGCGGTGCGGGAAGAAAAGAGACCCTTGTGGGACTTGATGGGGGTGGATACCGATGCAGTGGCCATTTTGAGTAGTGTATGTGGGGTATCGTGATAAAACGAATTGTAAATCTCCAACGGGTGCAACTTGGCGCACCGAGGGAAGAGGTGATGAGAGCTCCAAGAGACTCTATCGAAAGGTTCCTGGATGTTTGGCGTGTTCTGTTAGTATTCTGTCGTTGTGCTCGATATTCGAAGTAGTGCCGTCACGAGAAAGGCTCCAAGTCGGATGGGCGACCAAATGGCTGTGGACAGCGATGAGATCTAGAGGACTTGATTATTCTTGTGAAAAGGCTTTGATTGAGAAGCTTGACCCAGCGCGAAAGCGTAGGAGAGCAGATTCAAGGTAGTAGAGGATAGCGGGAGTGAAGAGGTTTGGTATAAAGAGAAGAAAGCTTGAAGCTGGACAGGAGCTCTCATCATCTTTTATTTACTTTGTGCCCCACCATCGTCGCGGCCGGGCAACGACGCTTGGACCAGCGTTGCGGCGTTGCCAAATTGACATGAGTGGGGCTTTCTGACGTTGCACCGTCAAACTTCTCTGCCATAGAAACTGCCTACCTTAGGTAATGGGGTCACTATCCACTGTTCGCTTGCTGACGTAAGGTTGGAGGAGTGACTGGGGTCACGTGGATTCCGTTGCGAGTCGGGCGCAACCGCCGAAAATCGGGCAAGCCAATGAACGAAGCGCAGCCTCCCGGTCCCCTGCACACAGCCCGTCTGCAGTTGCCACGACAGAGACGCAGGCTGGAGACAGGAGGGTGGCCCGTGATTCCCTAATTAAGAGGCCTGGGTTGTCAACCTATGCAGGAACATTGCGAATCTCCACCTCCAGTCTCCGGTGTGCGACGACATCCCATCCCATCCCATCCCATCTGTCGCTTGCCGTCCTTCTGTCGAACTTGCACTCGATAGAAAAGCGTCGCCCGCTCCTGCCGCAACTCCTGCGTCCCCACGCTATTCAGCCAACTACACGCTGTAGCCAGCACCACTTTCGCGACCTCGCATACGATTGAGATGATTTGTTAGCATTCACCCTACCTTCGCTGCCCATCATGGCCCAGCCTCAGCCATCACCAGCAACTCCTGGGGCCTTGGCCCAATCCCTCTTCGGTGGGCCGGCAGTTCAGGCCCTATCGACACCCAACCAGCCTTCGAACACATCCACGCAACCTTCGCCTTCTCCGATGGACCAAACTCCGGGTTCAGCAGCGTCAAGCAACAACACCTACATCATGCCCAACTCTCCTATCAAGAGTAGAGGTACCCTCGATGGCTATCGTCCAAGGGTAACAAGGACCTTGGGTCAGCGACCAGCTTGCCTTGTCAACGCCTCGGTCACATATTGTGGCAACAATCATATCTACGCTTTCGGAGGCTTCGATCAGTACACTGACGAGGTCTACAACCATGTCCTCAAGCTGGATTTGGTCAGTCACCAGTGGAGTTTGGTTGACAACTACGGCGATATTCCCGGCGTAAGAATGGGTAAGTTGTCTTGATCACGGAGCGCGGCTCCATTCACCGCCGCGATCTAACAAAATCCAGGTCATACTGCCACTCTATACCAAGGTGACAAACTTCTGGTCTTTGGCGGCGAAAACGAGCACCGGACCTATCTCTCCGACTTGATCATTTTCGATCTGAAAACCGCGCACTGGACACAGCCTTCAGTAACTGGTCCTGTGCCCAAGGGTCGAGCAAGACACGCAGCGGTGCTGCACGAAGATAAACTTTTTATCGTTGGAGGCATAACTGGTCACGACAACTACGTGCTTGACGATATCTGCTATCTCGATCTCAAGACCTTCACTTGGTCCCGCTCTTGGCGTTTCGTAGGTCGATTCGACCACTCTGCCTACATTTATGGAGACAGGGTATGGGTTTTCGGCGGATTGTCTGAGGACATGGACAAGATTGGCGACCTCTGGTGGCTCGATCTCAAGGGTAGTCCGGCTTTTGATTCTGCGCCTCACGTCGGGATCTACGATCGTCAATCTGGCACCAGCCGTGCTGTTGGATCGCCAAGACAACCTTATTCTATGGCGCATCCACCACCTGCAGTAGGCTCCTCAGGGTATGCCGCCAACTCGCGGACTCAACAAGTCAACCCACCTTCTTTTCAGCTCAAGACCTTTTCACCCATGGCCCCAGGAACAATTTCATCTCTGAAGTTCATTTCCGGACCCAACATACCCTCACAGGGGTCTGGCATATGCATATCGTCACCTGTTGACTCATGGCACCACCTTTAAGCACCACTATCTTCCAAGGAGTGTTCCTTATCAGCACTGGACTTGGGAACCTTGCAGCACTGGACTTGGGAACCTTGCGATGGCAAAAGCTAGCTGAGGGTCGCGAAATCTTCAAGTCAGGCTACCGATGGCACTACTGTACTATGAACGAAGACGGAACTAAGGCATGGCTGCTCGGGTGTCCTACCGACCCTGTCGCTTCGGACTTGGGCCCCAACGGGTTCGAGGAATACCTGAGGTGAGTAATCCCAATTAACCATCAAACAAGGGCGTTTCTGACTTGTCACTCGTAGCGACATAATGGAGATCGATCTTCGTAGATACGGCTTCTTAGGAAACAACTTTTCGTCTGAGCCACGTATAGAATCAAGGCCGACAACGCGAGTGGTCGACCAACCCTCAAAAGGGCTCGGGGCTGACTTGGCAAAACTCTTTGATCATCCTCCGGAGAGCGGCAGCGGCACTGACTTCATCGTCACGGCCTTGGAAGGCGACTACGAAGACGACGACATGATGTCTCGTGTCGCAGACGCGTCTGCAGGCCAAAATTGGCTCGCGCCTGACGCACCTACATCCCAACCAATCCACGTCCACAAGCTCATTCTTCAGGCTCGTTGGCCACACTTCGCCCGGTTATACAACTCCCAGATGGCGGAATTCCACACAAAGAAGATGCACATCCCCGAGCCATATTCAGTGGTCAAGGCATTTCTTTATTACTTGTACACAGACAGCATACATGGAACGTCTGTCAACGAGAGCGGTGCCACTACTGATTTGTCTGACGTGGCTGGGCTTCTCGTCATGTCGAACATTTACGGCATTCCGCATCTGAGACTTTTGTGCGTGAACCGACTCTCCAAAGAACTCGACGTTGACCATGCCTGCGTCATCTGGCACTGTGCTGGACTTGCGAACGAAGAGTGGCTCCGCAAGCGGGCTGCACAGTTCTGTCTCACACACTGGGGTCGTATCGTACGGACCCAAGGGTTCCTTCGCCTGCCAAGGTCGGCGCTTGTCGAACTCTCTCAGGAAATCGACATGGAGGGCCGCGTCGTCGGCGGTGATGAACTGGAATATGTCGGCGGGTTGGCAGGTTCCCGGTTTGGAGATGGGTGTTCTGTCGTCAGCCGGAAGGAGAGTGTGAGTAGCAACCACACGCAGCTACTTGACAGTGAAGCCGACGACGAAGATGGCATGGAGATGAGCTAAATGGGTGCTTTTGTCATTCATCCAGGCGCGGCTTGATACACCACCTCGATATGCTGAAGCGAATCATGTTTAGGAAGGGACTAGCAAGATGTCCTCAATAACGTGAACATGGTTATGGTGCAAACTGGCCAGCTTGCACAATCTCACCTCTCTTATGGTTATCACAAGTAACGAAGAAATGTCTTATGTGGTGGCTAATGGTTTTAGGCATTGTATGGTGTTGGTTTATAGAGCGACTTTGGCTCTGGTTTTTTTTTCATTACTCAAATCGTGCTGGAGTTGCTGTCTGGTAGACATTGATATCCCACAAACACAATCACACCAAGCTTCTGGTTACTTTTCTGCTCGCGAGTTTTTTTATGCAAATTGTTCGGTCAATACATTCGTTCAGTCTATATTTTGGGGGATTGTCGAAAAAAGCAGGCAAGAAAAAGAGATGAAAATAAAAATCATGAGTAAACTTTTCCCAACCGATGCCCTACTGCAACGCCTACACTCTGTAAATCAAGCGTAAATCCCTCGCATATGGCGAGAGAAGATTCTTTTGAAAGAGACTCGAGAAAGTCAAAAAAAAAAAAGCGACAAGAGACTATTCAATAGCCCTATAGTCAATCCAGCCCTCAATCGTCTGTTTTGCTTCTTCTTCTTCCAACTCGTTGCCTCCAAAGATACAAAGACTTTTCCAGACCATCATTGCCGCATTCCCTCTCCATCCTCCCCTGAAGCATCATAATTCCCTCTTCGGAAGTCTCGCGATTCGTGGACAGGACTGGATCCATCCCGCGACGTGAAACCAGCTTCTTCACCACGCTCCTGCTCCCAAAGCAGTGGAAACGAATGGTAAAGCAAACCTAAATAGGCAGCCGAGTACCAACAAAGAAAACTAAACAAGCGAAGAAACCAAAAGAAACCTAACATTGCCGGCCTGCTCTGATGGCCTCAAAGCCGTCTAACCTCGACCGAAGCTGCCGAGGCTTGTATTAATCTAGAAAGGAGTTGTATCGTGGTCGAAGAATCGCAAGCGTTACTGGTAAGTCTATGAGGGTATAAAATGGGGAACAGACTCGATCGACCTGACAATCGACCTGAAAACCGCCCGCAAAAGCATTCAAACGCCGCTCCGTATGCCGCAAACCAACCGCATGGCCGAGATATTTAGTCGTGATTCCGAGGCCGAGGTCGGGGTGCTGTACGGTTCCCAGTGACCCCAGCGATGCCTCGAAGTCACTTGAATAGGGTGTGGTGGAATCGTCGGACGGATTGATCCCTTACATCATCTGGTCTTCGCCAATTCCAGGTAGGTTGGTCATCGAATTCTCCATAAGACCCGGCAGGCTAGCGAGATTGTTGAGCCCTGCGGCTAAGAACTTGAAATCGGGATTGCAAGGTGCGGAGTGTCCCTTGTGCTATTTATTTTGTCAGTCATCGCACCTCGTTTACTCCTAACATCAAGTATTAACTTACGTATTTGAGACCGTTGAGGTTCTTGTAGCGCTTTCCGCAGACGTCGCAGGAGAAAGGCTTCTCCTTTTCCATGCCCAAAGTACCGGGATAAGGAGTACTAGTTTCAGGGTTGACGATAGAGAAAGTGCCATCACCGTTCTCGTGTAGCTGTTGCGTCTGGTGCCCATGTGTCTTGTGGTACCTAATTTGGACCCTGATTAGCCACATGTCATACACACCAGCCAGGATGTGGAAACTTACTTGAGACCGTTCTGGTTCTTGTACGCCTTTTCGCAGCCGATGACCGGGCATTTGAATGGCTTGTGTTCCTCCGGAATCATCATTGCGCCAAACTTTTGGATCAAAGCCTTGTTCGCCGCACTGTTGGGCTGGCTGGGATCGAAACCCATTCCAATGAGATGTGCCTGAATTGCCCGTTGCTGGTTGGTGAGAGCACCTCCGGGGCTGAACAGGTGTTTGCCAGGATCATTGATGCAGAACTCGGAGGCAGAGTTTCCAAAGCTCACGTCCCCAAAGTTGGATCCGTTAAGCTCCATGTTGCCACCCATAGGCATGCCTGGCAAGTCGTCGTCCATGTCGTCCATATCGTCCATGGGCTGCATCGGGGAGTTCTGGAAACCGTTGTTGGGGCGCTGTTGCTGTGGCGTTTGCTGGGTAGTAAGCGTTGGGGTGTTTACAGATGATACCGTGGGGTTGTGCTGCAGCCCGAAGCTGGCAGCTGCAGGCGTTGGTGGCTGGGATGTCCGCAGTCCTTGAGTGAGACCCGAGGCGTTGACGTGCAACTGAGGTCGCTGTTGCTGGCCGAACATTTGCCGAGTCTGTGACATGGTTCTCTGGCTATCGTCCATCTCCATGGTTCCCAAAGCATCATCCATCTCCATGTCACCGACGGCATCCATCTCGTCGAATTGCGACATCTGTGCATGCTGCTGTCCAGCTATGTTTTGCTGACCAAGCTGCATCCCCAAACCTCCCATGCCTCCGCCAAGGTTGGAACCCGGACGGCTTGGTTGACCAAGTTGTGACATAGAAGTGGTGTTTTGTTGCTGAGTCTGTGGTCTTGCGCTGCTGGCCCTGGATGAGGGCTGTGTGGGTATCGCGGCGAATTGGGAAGAAAAGGGTGCATTGCGCGCAGTGTTCGGACTGGGTTGCGTGTGCGACTCTTCATAATGCTGTAACAAATCGTGAAGGTTCGGCAAGTTCAAACCGCAACAAGTGAAGTCCTTCATGAAACTCGCCTCAAGCTTCGGCAGATAGGAACCGGAGTGGAAGGATGGCGAGGCTTGGTGTGCGAACGGTGACGTGCCTGCCATGGCGATGCTAGTAGAACCGGTTAGCGGTAATTCTCGCACGAGCGTCGCTGCGACTGATGACATGCCAATGGTCGCCACCGAAGCATGTATGTAACGCAAATAACTGTAGGAGGCCAGAAAGGAAGGCGGGGACATACTCATCGCGAATGAAGCTGCCGAATGACATTCCTCCCCAGCTCGCGCCAGCACCCATGAGGCTGCCAGCGAGACTCTCTCGTCTCTGGCGGTTGACGTGGTCGCGGTTGGGGTTGGCCATAGAAATTGGCTTTGGACCAGCGCTGACAAAGGAGTCCTGGCGACTCCGACCCATGGCCGAATCCATGGCTGGGCCAGTGGTCATATCGATACTCTTGGTTGGGATGGGAGCAAAGTCGAGGAGCTCGTCGGGAAGAGCAAAGGGGTTTCTGTCGAAGCTGGACTTTGCGGGGCCTGAGGGGGAGGTGGATGAAGGGTCCCTCGTGCTTGTGGGTGTGGCAATGGTGATTGGCTTGGTGGACCAGAGGCCTGCGCGGGAATCACGAACGTCAAAGGGGTCGGTGGGTGTGAGGGGTTGTGATGAGGGAGAGTTTGGAGTGCGGGATGACGAATTGGAAGAACCTGGTGAAGGAGAAGCGAAGATGTTGTCGGAGGCAGAAGGTGGTGGTGGTGTTGTAGTGGTGAAAGAGGAAGCCGACGCACGATAACTAATATTATCGGCGCTGGCGCAGTCACTTCTGCTGAGCGTGCGCCTGGGTTCGCTGTTGTGGGCGGCGGCGGCGGCGGTGGACCGGGTCGACGGGTCCCTTGGGTCCTCGGTACTTGTTGGGTTGAACCAGCGAAGGGCGCTCCTCATGTCAGCTGGAAGTAGACGTTGTATTGGGGTTAGGCAGGGGATCCGTGGCTCCCAGAACGTTTCTCGACCCTTTTTGTGGGTACTTATTTAATCGGGCCACTGAATGCAGCCGGCGGATGCGCCCCGAAAAAGGAGATCGAGTCCGCGTCTCGACTAGCAGCGCTGCCGCTGTAATGTGTCAAGAGAAAGAAAAAGAGGGGGGAGGGGTGTGAGGGAATGCGTGCGTATATGCGCTGCCTTTGTGTGCTGCACTTCTTTTTCCCCCTGTTTCTCTTGATTTTGTCTCTGGTTTGGATTCTCTGCAAATTCTGGGGAATCGACAGAGGAATATGAGGGGAGGGGCGGACTCGGTGCAAAAGGTAGGTATTGGGTGTCTCGAATACGATTTGCTGGGGGTACTGCGGCGGTGGCAGGTCGAAGCTTAAAAAGTGATGGTCCAAGTACCTTTTCCCGGAAAGTACCTTGGGCAACGAAAGGTTGGGAGGTACCTGACGGAACAGTTCGTGGTGGCCGTAGTTTTGGTGTACCGCCTAGGGAGGCGAATAAAGGTGGGCTGGGGACCGACCGAGGATGGTGGATTGGTAGGTATTCCGGCGACGGCGACAGCGCGTGGTATTGGTAATGACCTCGAGAGGCGCGTTCAAAGGTCGGAGGCGAAAATCGAGTGCGCAAGTCTTCCGCGTCTTAGTGGTTTCTACTATCCAAAGATCGGAAACGAGCTAGTTCCGGAAGGCTATGGAAGTAGTGGTGACGGCTGGATGATGCTATCTCCGAAAAGTTGTGGCCGATCTATGTCCGTGGAGGCGTAACAGCGTCGCTGGGTGAGGCTCTGGGCTGAAGATGAAGATGAGTGTTGATCATCGAAGAAGATAGTCAACTGTCGAGCCAACGGGTATTGTACTTTTTGAACGGTTGCTTGGGTGTTGTCGATGCTGTTTATTATGATTATAAGAAATCGTCTTATAGTCTCGACAAGGGGTTGTTAGAGTGGGTATTGGTATCGATTGTTGTGTGTTGTTCTTCCGTCGGCAATGCAAGACTGTAAGTGGACGAGGCCTTGAGAGCTCGAGGTGAAGAGGAAGCAAAGGTAGTATAAATGTTTGGCAGAGGGAAGCAGATCTGGGACGAAGTCAAGAGGAGAAGCACAACAGATGCCGGGGACGAAAGCCAGGAAGGGCACGGGGTTATGAATAAGATGGAAGGCAAGCGGTATGATGGAAGAGATGGGCATGTGTTGACTCGACACAAGCACAAATCCGGGTTGTCCTGGCGCGAGAGTTAAGGTACTTGACCTGGTCAGTCCAGGCTCTAGGTTGATCGGTCCAAGGGCACCTTGGGAAGTAGGTTGGGACTTGGAGAGAAGGCGGAGGAGAAGGAGGAGGGTATCTGTA